CTACACCCACTGCTACACCCACAGCTACACTGCTACACCCACTGCTACACCCACTGCTGCACCCACACACAATCAAAACCCAACCAAGACCAATGGGACCCAAACACCCATCAACCCCTCTAAACACACTGATGAAGTACATTAGTTTGAGGAGCGCATACGTGAGTATGATTGACAGCTGTAACATCCTCCTCCTAGCTCTGATTGGTTGTTTCTGACCTAGTGATGTATTTGTGTCAACATAGCTGGATTATTTTCAGATGATCTGCCGCCACCTGGTGGCAGTTTCAGCAAATATGGAGAAAATGTCTTTATGACGGTTCCGTACTACAGCTTTCAGGCAGAACTAAACATCAGGCGATCATAGATGGAGCAGCTGGAAATCCCAACCTGCACCTGAATGCACCGCCCTCCCAAGCCGGCTCTCTCTCTCCTCCCTCCGCTCTTTATTCTCCCTGGTACTGACCCGACCCAGGCCAGATGCCCGCCGGCGTTCCTGCTGCTGATGATGATGGGAGTCCTGATCTTCTGCTGTGTCTCCCAGGTAAGACCCGCTGCTTCAGTGTGACCGTTCCTTACTGGGTTAACTGGAAACGATGGTCAGACAGACAGGAGAACATCACCGTTTACTTTAGTTCCACTCAGGAAAAGCTCCAGAACCTCCAGCCTGAGCTTTCAGGCTTCCAGCTGCAGCAGCCTGACAGGACGGACTGAGGGCACAGGGCTCGCCACAGACCGGTTCTGGACCGAAAACTCTCCTCATGTGTTTGCATCTGCAGGTCATCTGGGGGGCATGTCCACATGTTGCCATGGAGACAGCATACAGGTGTGCTCCTTTCTTCCTGTTGCCGCCTCCTCCTCCTCCTGTTCCTCCCAAAGGTAAACGGTTCCTCTCTGAATTCACCTGTTTTGGTTCTGATCCGGTTCTGACTGGTACTGGTACCGGGTCTATAGATCAGGAAACCAACGAGACACCATCAGAGCGTGTGTGACCTTTGACTTCAGTGATATTTCTAGTGCAGGTGTGGGAGCTCCTGACTGCAGAAGGCTTTTATTTTGATAATCTGACAAAATCCCTCGAGCCGATTGCTTAATCCTGACTCTTCCTCCTCATCTTCCTCTTCCTCATCTCTGTGCTGCAGTTCGAGCTCCGGATGCTCCGGACGCTCCGGATGCTCGCCTTGAACTCCCGGTGCTCATCTTCATCGTGGTCTCGTTGTCATTGCTGGTGCTCCTGACGACGCTGAGCTGCCGTGGTGCCTACAGGTGGGATTCAGCAGATCAATAGAACCGGTTTGCATCTGGTTCTGACCCACAACATTGGAGCTAATATTAATATCTGAAACTACATGTTAATAAGCGTTTATAAATGAATATTTTCTGAGTCTGGCGTCACAGTGACTGCAGACTCATCAGGGCGCCACGCCAACGCTGGCTGATGCTGCGCCGCTTTGTTTAGTTGAATAAACAGTTCACTGCTGACATCATCAGAACCAGAGGAATCGGACCACTAACCGGGTTTCAGTGGACGGAGGAATTGGAAACATTTCCAGTTCGGAGAAGAAATGTTCAGAAATAATTTCTCCATCTAAACAATAAAATGTTTACCAACTCAAGCCGACCCGGGTCGGTCTCAGCCAGCCATGCTTCAGGCTCAGCGGTCCGGTTCAGCCCAAAGCTTCACGTTTATTATCTGATCAAAAATAAATTGCCTTTCACTGAATTCTGACCCAAAAATTAAAATGTGGATCTGTTAAAGTTCTGAAACCTGCTATCTACTTCAGAACCAGAACCAGAGAGAACGGGCCGAACCAGGGAGGAAGCAACCTGCAGGAACCGACATCGGCCCGGCTCTAACCGGACCGTCTCCATGGTAATCAGAGGACCAATCGGCATCATGGATGTAGAGCTGTACATGTTCAACCAGAACCAGAACCAGGCCTGGATCTACATGCAGCTGGGAGCCTTGATGTCCTTACAGTCATATTTATACAACCTGAACAACGATTTGACCAGAAAATTAAATATTAGTGAACTAAAACTGTTTTTGAGGTTCTGTTTGGTTCTGATCCAGCCGCAGCACGGGTCAGGAAGCAAAGTAGTTTGTTTCTGTGTGTGTACCAAGTTTTTATGTCCTTGTGGGGACATTTTCTTGGTCCCCATGATGGGAAATGCTGTTTCTGTCGGGGGTCGCAGGTCGGGTTTGGGGCTGAGGTGTTCAGTGATTTCTGGTCAGACTGTAGAAATGAATGGAAGTTGACGGAAAGTTCCCACAAAGATAGGAAAACACGGCTGTGTGTGGTGAAGTTTCGTCTCCGACTCGTTTATTTACCTCAGGCCTCATTTCCTGGACCGGGTGATGAAGATGATGAGGAGGACTTCCTGTGTCCGTGGGAGCCCTGATGTTAAACAGGAAGTGATTAACTTAGTAAATCCAGCAGATGGAAGAAAACAAACAGAATCATGGGAGTGGACACAGTTTCATCCGATGGAAAAATAACACCCAAATCACAGAACGCTTTTATTTTGAAAAGAGGACAGGTGAGTTTTGCAAGGAAAGATGAAACTTTTTAATACATTCAGTATCATGAACACACCTGAGTTTTCTTAAACGCTGTTTTTTCAGAATAAAAGCCTGACTGGTTTCAGGACACATTAATTCTAGATCAAAGGTTAATAAAAATTCAGCTGTTTCACACTAAGAACAGGAAGAGGACTGTTAGGTCCGCGGGACTTGTTGGGCCCGCTCCCGGTACTCCGGCAGGTGGTGGAGGATCCAGGCTGCTGGGGCCAACATGGCCGCCGCGAACACAGACATGACGAAGAAACTTTGCTGTCAGGAAGAGAACAGAGAACATGTCAACCAGACTGAACCTAACATGTTTTCAGAACCACCAAGGTCAGGAAGCGCTACACCAACACAGTACTGACTGGAAGCTAATGCTAAAATGTTAAATACCTATGTGGTTTTGAGTGGAAGCTAATGCTAAAGCACTATGCCACAGATGTCAAACTTTAATTGAAACTTTACAAAACAGCCAAGTAAATCAGCACTTAGCTAAACTTATTTAATTAAGTGCACTAAACATTTTCAGAGTCAGCAAAAACGCTAAAGCACTGAACAAAAAATTAGCTCCACTATTAGGGAATTGTGTGTGTGTACAGAAGCGTATTGCTGTCATGAAACGTGATAAAGTTCACGCGTCCAGAAGGTGGCGGTAGTGGGCTTTTAGCGCATGCGTAAAGAAGGCTTGAATTGGCTAACAGGAGTTAGATAAGTTTATCTTCATGTCTGATAAAACATGGAAAGATACTGATGCTGCTGGATGTTAGGCATCAAATCATTGATAGTGTCTGCGTGTAACAAGTTAATATTACTTTACATTAAATTTCGAATTCCACTAAATCAGTCATCATATGTTATGTAAATTAGTTATTTCTTATTAGTACCTGTTTGATGTGAGCAGTTAGTTTTTCCTATTGCACTTGAACGCACCTCATGCATAGCCGCCAAGCGTGATGCATACAGAGGTTAAATGCTGCACTGGGGTAGCAGGAGGGAGGTGTTTGGACTAGACTGTGCAGACTGCTCACTGCCATTTATTTTGATATCTCACACAGACGAAAAAAAAGTCGGTGGACCCAGAAATGGATCCAGTTCTATTTGATACACTGATAGAAACACACAACGCAGAGTGAAAGCTTTCTGGGACGGATCCTCCAGATGTGGCGGATAGATGTGTCACCACCTTAGACGTATTTAACATGGATCAAAAATCAACCTTCTGACTGAAACCTAGAGCACATCATGAGGGTAGACCTTAAACTGCTGGTAGTTTAGAAATCACTGAACGGATTAAAGATCTGCTGCTGGATTAACCTGCTGGTTCTGGTTCCAGTTCATCCATTTCCAAACGTGGAGAAGCAGTATTCAGCTTCTGTACACTACAAATCTGGAACAAACTTCCAGAAAACTGAAAATCAGTTGAAACCCCGAGTTCCTCTAAATCTAGCAGAAGCTAGTTTAGCTGATAGAGGGAACCCAGCTGTTGGCCTGATCCAGTCATAACTCCTTCATTCAATGTTTTTATTTATCATTTCATCATGTGAAGCTCGTTGAAGCGACCTGCTGCTGAAATGTTCTGACTGGACCGGGCCGACTCTGGAACAGATCGGTGTCACACCTGGATCTGGAGGAAATGTTCTGGTTCTGGTTTGTCTTCGTGGTTCTGGGTCAATAAATCAGTCTGAACAGAAAGCAGACCGACTGATCAGAGGACTGGATCAGCATTCAGATCAGCCATCAATTATTGATCAGTTTTAGCAGCTCCAGTCAGTTTCTGAGTTATTAGTTATTGACCAGTCGGTCAGTTAGTAGTCAGTTAGTAGTTACTCACAGCAGCTCCGACCCGGTGTCGAGGAGGTTTGCCGTAGATCGTCCTCTTTGTCTCCTTCAGGATTTCTTTTGGACGAGTCAAACTTGAAGACTTGTCCAGCATCCTCAAGACAGAGAATAGCATCGTCATGACGACCCTCACCTGATCACACCTGGTGCTCTGACTGGCCACTGTCGAGCTGTTTGGTTGGTGTGAGCAGCTGGACGGTTGGAGTCGGACTGAGGGCTGGAGGCAGAGGAAGAGGAGGAGGAGGAGAATCCAGCTGGGAGCCGATTGGCCGGCCGGCGGGTCCCGGGTCGGTTCTGGTCGGTGATAACAGGAACCAGAGCAGCAGCTCTGATTGGATCTCCTGCAGAACAAAGAGCCCTGATGAGGCGGAGAGCTGCAGGTGTTTGATGTTGGAGCAGAGCCGCAGGTGGAGCGCTGCTCTTCGTCACAGACGGACGGATGACAGGAAGTCACCGTCTGACCGCCACGCCAGCAGCTGCAGGACGGCCGGTTCTGTTCAGACTCTGGATCCAGAACTCGGTTCTCTCAGCACCATCAGAAACAGTCCGATGTTTTCTGACTATTGTATGGACTTCAGTTAAACATTTAGATCTGGACCTGGACCCACTGATCACCTCCAGAACCAGACAGGAGGATCATCCGGGTTTGGGTTCCTTCCAGAACCCAGTCGGGTTTCTGCGGCTGACTGGGTTCCTGAACAATGAGCCCAACATCACGCTTTATTGCTCAGCGTAAATTTTATTCTTACAAGTAAGAAAACACGAAGATGAAACTAAGAGACATTCAGCTTAAAAACATCCCAAAGAACAAATTCAGAAAATATAAAACTGAAGATGAGTTTTTCCCAGGAGCGATCAGGAGAAGAACGGTCCAGAGTCCGCTCGACGTCTTTTACGACTCTGTTGCTCGAAGAACTGACGGATGTCATCAGAGGTCACGACCTGCCACAAGAAAGCTATGAGTTGGCACGAGTCGGCGAAATAAGAGGCAGAAACACTGAGACCTGAACCACATGGACCAAGTTAAAGACCCGCCCACAAAGGTACAGTCCTGCATTATCAGCTATAACGCTGTGCTTATAGCCCCGCCCCTCTCCATTAGGAACAGTAAATCTCACCTTTCCTTCAGCCGCAAACGTCTGCAGGAAGTCCTTCAGTTCAGTTTTCATGTCGTTATAGCCTGAAAGATGGAAACCATCAGCTCTGTGGGAACTGAGTCTGCAGTTTAACTGGTGGTACTGGTTGTCTATTTTAGGTACCGTGGATGATCTCGAGCTGTTGGACCCGGTTCAGGTTGTCCAACGCTGACATCAGCGGGTCGTGTCCCTGCTGTCTCTGTTCATTGTTCTTTCCTTTGTTCTCGTAGGCGAGGACGGTGTCCGCTTCGTCCAACAGGAAGGACAGTCCGGCGTCAGCCAGCTGGACCTGGTCAGAACGTCACAGGAGGGTTAGCGCCTGGTGTCGGGTCAGGTCAACCTTCAGGGTGCAGCTGATGAACACCTGGCAGGTGGAGCAGGAGCAGAGCCTGGAGCGCCACCCTGAGGGCCAGAACACGGCTCCTGATTGGTCCGTCTTCTGTCCCGCTTCCTGCAGCGCCTTCAGTCTGCAGCTTGGCTCCGCCTCCTGCCGGCTGCGTTTACAGCTGGGCTCGACGATCTCTTCGCCCTGGAAACATTTGATTGGTCATCAGGGTTGCTATGGAGACCTACTCAAACCAGGTGAGTCAGGCTTCTCACCTTCTCCTCCTTTTTAGGGACACCAGCCTCCGACTGCTCTCCTTTCTCCTCCTTGGTCTGGAGCGTTGGACCCTGCACTAACAGGACAACGTCCCACACAGGTGAGACGGCACATCCAACACCCACCTGCAGCTAGAAAACCCCGCCTCTTACCTGCTAGGTGAGCAGCATAGGCCCAGAGAAAAACATGTTGGTTCATGCAGGACTCACAGATCATCTCCTGCATCTCCACACAGTCAGGAACCGCACAACCCAGGTGCTGCAAGGCAGGAGACAGGAGAGGA